TGGGTCCCCAGCAGGACACCAGAGCCCGGCTCAGCGGCTGTGACGGCACCTCGGTGCGGCAGCGTTAGGCTCAGAGTAAACGGGACCGGTTCCCCTTCTGACCGAGGTTTGGAGCCCCAGGAAGGCAGAGTCCCCTACTACGACACAAGAAGGAAGCCAGACAGGAGAATCCTGGGCAGAAAAGCACCATCAGTTTTAACGCTGCTGCTCTGGCCCTGGGAACTAACAACCTGGACGCCCACTCAAGAGACCTAATCTGAAAGTTGGTAAATTCAAAGATGGCAGGAGGATAAATTTACAATGACGGGAAGAAACCAGCGTCAAAAAGCTGAGAACGCTCAAAATCAGAACGCCTCTCCCCCTAAAGATGATCACAGTTCCACATCAACAATGGAAAAGGCTTGATGGAGAACGAGTGCATCCTGATGACAGAATCACTCTTCAAGGAATGCATAATAACAAACTTCGGTGAGTTAAAAGAACATGTTGTAGCCCAACGTAAAGAAACTAGGAACTTTGAAAAAAGGTTTGATGAAATCCTGTTGAGAATAGACAACTTAGAGAGGAGTATGAGTGAATTAATGGAACCGAAGAATACAATACAGGAACTCCGAGAAGTATGCACAGGTTCAAACACTCGAATTGTTCAAGCAGAAGAAAGGATATCAGAGGTCAAAGTCCAACTCAATGAAATAAAACAAGAAGACAAAATTAGCGAACAAAGGATAAAAAGGAATGAGCAAAGTCTACAAGAAATGTGGGACTATGTGAAAAGACCAAATTTACATTTGATAGGTGTACCTGAATGCGACGGAGAGAATGAATCCAAGCTGGAAAATACCCTTCAGGATATTATTCAGGAAAATTTTCCTAAACTAGCAAAGCAGGTCAACATTCAACCCCAGGTAATACAGAGAACACCACAAAGATATTCCTCAAGAAGAGCAACCCCAAGGCACATAATCGTTAGATTCACCAGGGTTGAAACAAAGGAGAAAATACTAAGGGCAGCCAGAGAGAAAGGTCATGTTACCCACAAAGGGAAGCCCATCAGATTACAGCAGATCTCTCAGCAGAAACTCTACAAGCCAGAAGAGAGTGGGGGCCAAATTCAACATCCTCAAAGAACAGAACCTTCAGCCCAGAATTTCATATCCAGCCAAACTAAGCTTCACAACTGAAGGAAAAATAAAATCTTTTATGAACAAGCAAGAACTCAGAGATTTTATTACCACCAGGCCTGCTTTACAAGAGCTTCTGAAAGAAGCATTACACACAGAAAGAAACAACCAGTATTAGCCTTTCTAAAAATACACCAAAAAGTAAAGAGCACCAACATAAAGAAGAATTTACACCAACGAATGGATAAAACAGCCAGTCAACATCAAATGGCAGTAACCCTAAATTTAAATTGACTAAATCCCCCAATCAAAAGACACAGCCAAAACCCAATGGCATGTTACATCCAGACCTGTTTCACATGCAAGGATACACAAAGACTCAAACAAAGGGATGGAGAAAGATTTACCAACCAAATAGAGAGCAAAAATAAATAATAAATAAATAAAAAGTAGGAGTTGCAAATCTCGTAGCGGATAAAATAGATTTTAAAGCAACAAAGATACAGTGGTAAAAGGATCAATGCAACAACAAGAGCTAACGATCCTAACACCCAGATACATAGAGACTTAGACTCAGTGAGACAGAAAATTAATAAGGATATCAAGGACTCGAACTCAGATCCGGAACAAGTGAACTTAATAAATATTTATAGAGCTCTCCACTTCAAATACACAAAATATACGTTCTTGTCAATACCACATCACACCTACCCATAAGTTTAAATGAAACATTGATTGGCCATTAATAATACCCAATTTTTTCAAAATAAAGCAATATTTCCATTTACTCTCCCTCTTTCTCTTTCTTCCTCTCCTTTACTTATTTTTTTTTTCTTTCCTTCTCTCAAAAAAAAAGAAATCAACTTGTAAACCTCTAGATCCAGGTCGGCAATGTCTCTCTCATTGCTTGATTTCCTTTCTTCCCTTCCCTCCCTCCCTCCCCGCTTCCTCCCTTCCTTCCTTCCTTCATCCCTTCCTTCCTCCCTACCGTCCTTCTTCCCTCCCTTCCTGCCTTCCTCCCCCCCCAAAAAAAGACAAATACGTGAAATATACATAGACAGTGTTTTATTTTTTAAATCAAAGGAATAAGTTAATAAACATTTGAATGACTGGATAAATTATGGGCATTTATAAACTAGATCATAATGCCGCCATTTTAGGTATTTTTTTCATATTGACGTAGAAATGTCTATGCTTACTAAGTAAAGAAAAAGTATAGAATTACAATGCATATGTTACCATTTGCTTGGCTTGAGGCAGTGATGTGCCAGAGCTGATGGGCTTGAGGAGCACAGGGCTCTTGAGAGCCACATGTGCTCGTTTCTTCACAACTGCAGTCAGGCTTCATGCTGGTTGTTTAAAAATTGGCCATAGTGAGAGTATTTAAAGCATTTTCATCAAGGAAGTCAGCAAAGACTACAAATCAGGGGCAATTTTTTCCTCCCCCAGAGCTGGTTTACTAGCATGCCGCTGGCTTCAAGTAACAGAAAACACGACTAGCACAGGCTTAAACTCTAGGGCCACTTATTGCTTACTACAAGGAGATCAGAGGTGGTAGGCAGTTCAGGAAAGGGTCAACAACTAAATACGTCATCGAGGATCAAGGCTCTTTTTATTCTTATCTCAGTAGATGTGCCCTTACATTTCATTGTTCAGAACTGTTCACATAGCCAATCCTAGCTACAAGGGAGCCTGGGAGAGTCAGTAGCTGATAGCAGGAAACAGGGTAGTCATGAGTCAAACATGCATCTTCTGGAGTTGTACCTATTACTGCTACAAACAAATCAGGGTTAATCAGCAAGGGTGGGGTAGGGGAATGGATAAACAACTAACAGTGTCTGCTACTAATGTGTATGTGTGTACATGTGAATAAATATAACAATAAATAAATAAATGCTCATTATTTAAAACATATAGCTGGGTACGGTGGCTCACGCCTGTAGTCCCAGTTATTTGGGAAACTGAGATGGAAGAATCACTTGAGGCCGGGCATTTGAGGCCAGCTTAGGTAGCACAGTGAGACCACCCCCATATCTGTAAAAAACAGAAGTATGTTTTTTTTGTTTTTGTTTTTGTTTTGAGACAGTCTTGCTCTTGTCACCCAGGCTTGAGTGTAGTGGTGTGATCTTGACTCACTGCAACTTCTGCCTCCCAGGTTCAAGCCATTCTTGTGCCTCAGCCTCCGGAGTAGCTGGGATTACAGGTGTGCACTACCATACTCAGCTAATTTTTGTATTTTTAGTAGAGACAGTGTTTCTTCATGTTGGCCAGGCTGTTCTTGAACTCCTGGCCTCAAGTGATCCACCCACCTCGGCTTCCCAAAGTGCTGGGATTATAAGTGTGAGACATCTGTGTCTGGCAAAAAATTATGTATTTATTTATACAACAAAATGTCTATAAAGAGGCCACGTGAGGTGGCTCATGCCTGTAATCCCAACACTTTGGTAGGCAGAGGTGGGCGGATCACGAGGTCAAGAGATGGAGACCATTCTGGCCAACATTGTGAAACCCTGTCTCTACTAAAAATACAAAAGTTAGCTGGGCGTGGTGGTGTGCACCCATAGTCCCAGCTACTTGGGAGGCTGAGGCAGGAGAATCACTTGAACCTGGGAGGCGGAGATTACAGTGAGCCAAGATCGTGCCACTTTCCTCCAGCCTGGCGACAGAGTAAGACTCCATCTCAAAAAAAAAAAAAAAAAAAAAAGAACAGTCTATGAAGAAATATAATATATAATACATTCTTAAATGTTTTTAGATCTGGGGTAGAGAGGTTGGACTTTGAGAATACTTTACATATTTTTATATATTTGTATTTTTATTTGTTTTTTAAAAGACTTTAAGAGCAGTTTTAGGCTCACAGCAGAATTAAAGAGAAAGCACTGAGATTTCCTGTATACGCCCTTCTGCACCACATGCATAGCTTCCCCCATTTTTCAGCATCTTCTGCCAGAGTGGTACATTGGTTGCAATACATGAACCATCATAATCATAATCACCCAAAGTCTATAGTTTACATTAGGATTCCCTCTTGGTGTTGTATATTCATGGGTTTAGACAAATTATAATCTACCATTATAGTAGCATATGGAGTAGTTTCACTGGCATAAAAATTGTTTTTGCTCTGCGTATTCATCCCTTTCCCTACCAACTCTTGGCAACCACTGATCTTCTTACTGTCTTCCTAGTTTAATTTTCCAGAATGTCGTACATGTATACCTTGGAGACTTTGCAGGTTGAGTTCCAAACATTGCAATACAGCAAGTCACACAAATATTTGGATTTCCCAATGCTTACAAAAGTTATGTTTACACTATTCTGTAGTCTATTAAATATGCAATAAGGCTCTGGCAGTGGCTCATGCCTGTAATCCCAGTACTTTGGGAAGCTAAGGCAGGAGGATTGCTTGAGCCTAGGAGTTCGAGATCAAACTGGGTAATGTGGTAAAACTCCATCTTTACAAAAGAATACAAAAATATAGCTGGATATAGTGGCACATGCCTGCAGTTCCAGCTACTAAGGAGGATGAGGTGGGAAGACTGTTGACACTCAGTAGGTTGAGGCTGCAGTGGGTTGTGACATGCCATTGCACTTCAGCCTGGGTGACAGAGCAAGACTCTGTCTCTACAAAAAACTCAAAAATTAGCCAGACGTGATGGTGCACACATATAGTCCCAGCTATGTGGGAGGATTGCTTGAGCCTGGAAGGCCAAGGCTGCAGTGAGCCATGATCATGCCACTGCATTCCAGCCTGGGCAACAATGTGAGACCCTACCTCAAAAAACAAAATAAAATAAGTAAGTTTTAAATTCTGGTCATTTCAACAATGTTCACAGCATCTTCACCAGGAGCGGATTCCATCTCAAAAAACCAGTTTCTTGCTTGCTTCAGCAGCACATATACTAAAACTGGAATGATATGGAGAAGATTAGCATGGTCCCTGAGCAAGGATGATAAGCAAATTTGTGAAGTGTTCCATATTTTTTGACAAATGGGATCTAATTAAACTAAAGCACTTCAGCACAGCAAAAGAAACTACCATCAGAGCAAATAGGCAACCTACAGAATGGGAGAAAATTTTTCCAATCTACCCATCTGACAAAGGTCTAATATCCGGAATCTACAAGAAACTTAAATTTACAAGAAAAAAGAAAAACATCAAAAAGTGGGTAAAGAACATAAACAGACACTTCTCAAAAGAAGACATTTTATGTAGCCAACAAACATATGTCAAAAAGTTCAAATCACTGATCATTAGAGAAATACAAATCAAAACCACAATGAAATACCATCTCACAGCAGTCAGAATGGTGATTATTAAAAATCCAAGAAACAACAAATACTGGCAAGGCTGTGGAGAAATAGGAATTCTATTACACTGTTGGTGGGAATGTAAATTAGTTCTACCACTGTGGAAGGCAGTGTGGTAAATCCTCAAGGATCTAGAACCAGAAATACCATTTGACCCAGGAGTCCCATTGCTGGGTATATACCCCAAGAAATAGAAATCATTCTACTATAAAGATACATGCACATGTATGTTTACTGCAGCATGATTCACAATAGCGAAGACATGGAATCAACCCTAATACCCATCAATAATAGACTGAATTTTAAAAGTGTGGTACAGATACACTATGGAATGCCATGCAGCCATAAAAAGGAATGAGTTTACATCCTTTGCAGGGACATGGTTGAAGCTGGGAGCTATCATCCTCAGCACACTAACATAGCAACAAAAAACCAAACACTGCATGTTCTCACTCATAAGGGGTAGTTGAACGACAAGAACACATGGACACAGGGATGGGAACAACACACAGTGGGACCTGCTGGGGGGCAGGGAGAGCATCAGGACAAATAGCTAATGCATGTGGGGCTTAATACCTAGGTGAGGAATCTGTATGTTCTGCACATGTATCCCAGAACCTAACATTAAAAAAAAAAAAAAGGAAATCACCTTCTTTGCTTATTCATAAGAAGAAACTCCTCATTTAAGTTTTATGATGAGACTGAAACAGTTCAGTCACATCTTTAGGCATCACTTTTTTTTTTGAGGAGATAAACCAATTTTATTGTATATTATGTTATACAAAAATCTACAAATAACAGATTTGTATAGAAAAAATGGTAATAAATGAGAGTGTAAAACATATCATTTAAATTTGGTATTTTTTCCATGATATTAGGATGATAATCATTTCAAAGCATGTGTCTAGCTTCATAGTTGGATTTGTTCAATGGCCAAAGCCTGCCATAAAACTATGACTTTCAGTGTCTGTCTGCTCTACTGGCTCTTGACAAAACTTTTGAGGCCTTCAAGAAAAGTAATGTACTACTGGTGCTGCAGGGCTATGCTGAGCTCCACCAACTCATCTGCAAAAGTATTGTCCAGCCCTCGGTCCACAAGGAAATCCATTAGGTGGCCCAGTCCAGGGAATCTGTGTTGAGTGTATAATTAGTAACCTTCCATTCAGAGTCACTGTGGACTGAAAGCTAACTTCCCTGATAGAGAAGATGTCACTCTCAGCCTCATCCTCTTGTCCAACCTCATCTTCTGGATAATGACAGTCCAGCACAAGGGCCTTCTTGCCATCATTCTTTATAACTTCAACCACGAAATTGGGAGTTGATGTCAATTCAGGCTCCTGTTCTTCGATCTTCTGCCCTTGCGAGGATTCTTCATCACCATCAAATGTTGGTGGGATGCTGTTGTTAATGTTGAAAGTGACAGTGATTTTTCCCCGAGCAACTTTCCGCCCTAATTTAGCTTCTGTCCCATTCAGTTTCAGCTCCCAACCTCCAGACATCTTAGAGAGGGTTTTATGCTTCTGGATTTTTCTTTCCTCCCTAATTTCATCACTCAGGAAATCAACAAAAGCTTTGTCTCCTTTGGTGTGCAGCGCGCCGCAGCCACAGCCGCAGGTGCAGGGCCCATGAGGCCACAGGAGGCCCAGCGCTCAGGCATCACTTCTAATTCTAGTCCCCAAGCTGTTTCTACCACCTCTGCAGTAGAAATTAAAGAATTAATTCTCAGCTGAAGAATTAAACCTCTGAAAGACATCTATGAGGGTTGGTATCAACTTTTCTTCAAACTCCTGTTAATGTTGACATTTTAGCTGGGTGCAGTGACTCATGCCTGTAATCTCAGCTGAGATGGGAGGATCACTTGAGCCCAGGAGTTCGAGACAAGCCTGAGCAATGTATGAGAGTTTGTCTCTAAAAAATTAAAAAACAATTAGCCAGGTGTGGTAGTGTGGTGTGTTCCTGCAATCCTAGTGACTGGGGAGGCTGTGGAAGGAGAATTGCTTGAGTCCAGGAGTTTCAGGCTGTAGTGAGCCATGATCATGCCACTGCACTTCAACCTGGGCTGCAAAGCAAGACCCTCTCTCCCTCTCTTTTTTTTTTTTTTTTCCGAGACAGATCTCACTCTGTCGCCCAGGCTGGAGTGCAATGGTTTAATCTTGGCTCACTGCAACCTCCACCCTCTAGGATCAAACCATTCTCCTGCCTCAGCCTCCCAAGTCACAGGGACTACAGGCATGTGCCACCATGCCAGGCTAATTTTTGTATGTTTAGTACAGACTTTTTCACCATGTTGGTTAGGCTGGTCTCGAAATCCTGACTTCAAGTGATCTGTTCACCTCTGCCTCAAGACCTTATCTCTTAAAAAAAAAAAAGCTGACATTTTTGATCTCTTCCCGTGAGTCACATATGTTCTCACTGGCATCTAGAATGGTTAATTTTTCCCAGAAAGTTTTCAATTTACTTTGCCTAGATCCATTAGAAGAATCTCTATATATGGCAGCACAGTCTTATGAAATTTCTTTCTGTCTTTTTTTTTTTTTTTTTTTTTTGAGGTGGAGTCTTGCTGTGTTTACCAGGCTGGAGTACAGTGGCACAGCCTCAGCTAACTGCAACCTCTGCCTCCCAGGTTCAAGCGATTCTCCTGCATCAGCCTTCTGAGTAGCTGGGATTATAGTCAATGCACCACCAGGCCCAGCTTATTTTTGTATTTTTGGTAGAGATGAGGTTTCACCATGTTGTCCAGGCTGGTCTCAAACTCCTGACCTCAAGTGATCCACCCACCTCGGCCTCCGAAAGTGTTGGGATTACATGCGTGAGCTACTGCTCCTGGCTGAAATATAGTTCTTAAATAATAAAACTTGAAAGTCAAAAGTATTCATTGACTTATGCAGAATGGATGCTGTGTTAGCAGGCATGAAAACAATATCAATCTCCTGGTACATAATCATCAGAGCTCTTGGTTGACCAAGTGCACTGTCAATGAACAATAATATTTGAAAGTAATTTTTTTTCCTGAGCAGTAGGTCTCTACAGTAGGCTTAAAATACTCTGTAAACATGCCATAAAGAGATATACTGTCATCCAGGCTTTGTTGTTTCATTAATAAAGCACAGGCAGAATAGATTAGTGTAATTTTTCAAAGTGCTAGGATTTTTGGAATGGTAAATAGGCACTGGCTTTAACTTAAATGACCACCTGTGGTGGTCCCTAACAAGAGTCAGCCTGTTCTTGGAAGCTCTGAAGCCAGGCATTCACTTCACCGCTGTGGGAATCATCTTCCGATAGAACGCTGTTTTCTGTATGTTAGAAATCTGATGTTTAGTATAGTCATCTTCATCAATGATTTTAGCTAGATCTTCTGGATAACTTGTTGCAGTTTCTACATCAGCACTGTTGCTTTACTTTGCACTTGTATGTTACAAAGAAGACTTCTTTTTTAAAACTCATGAACCAATCTGCTAGCTTTCAACTTTTCTTCTGCATCTTCTTCACCTCTCTCAGCCTTCACAGAGTTGAAGAGTTAGGGTCTTACTCTGAATTAAGCTTTGGCCTACTTCAGGGAATGTTGCTGGTTTGATCTTCTACCTACACTCTACAACTTTCCTTATATCAGTAATAAGGCTGTTCCACGTTCTTATAATTTGTGTGTTCACTGGAGTAGCACTTTTGGTTAATTTTTTTTTTTTTTTGAGATGGAGTCTCAACCCTGTCACACAGGCTAGACTCAAACTCCTTACCTCCCATCTTAGCCTCCCAAAGTGCTGGGATTACCTGCTTGAGCCACCACACCTGGCCTAATTTCCTTCAAGAGCTTTTCCTTTGCATTAACATCTTGGCTACCATTTGACACAATAGTCCTAGCTTTCAGCCTGTCTTGGATTGTGACATGCCTTCCTCACTAAGCTTAATCATTTCTAGCTTTTGATTTAAAGTAGGAGAGGTATGAGTCTTTCTTTCACTTTAACACTTAGAAGTCATTGTAGGGTTATTAATTGGCCTGGTTTCAATATTTTTATGTCTCAGGGAATAGGGAGGTATGAGGAGAGGGTGAGGAATGGCTGGTTAGTAGAGCAGTCGAACACATATGCCATTTATTGATTAAGATTGCTGTCTTATATGAGCGTAGTTTACTGTACCTCAAAACAATTACGATAGTAACATTGAAGATCACTGATCACAAAATTACCATTAACAGATATAATTATAATAGAAAAATGGAAATATTAGGAAAATTGCCAAAATGTGAAACAGAGACAAGAAGTGAGCACATGCTGTTGGAAAAATGACACTGATAGTCATGTTCAATACAGGGTTACCACAAACCTCCGCTTTGTAAAAAATGTAGTATCTTTAAAGTGAAGTGCAATAAAATGAGATATGCCTATAGATGGAATTACACAGTATGTAGCCTTTTCTGACTTGCTTAATACACACTTAACTACTTAACTTTCCTCCATGTCTTTCATGTCTTTTCTTTCTTTTTTTTTTAGACAAGTTCTTACTCTGTCACTCGGGTTGGAGTGCAGTGGTGCAATCTTAGCTCACTGCAGCCTTGACCTTCTGGGTTCAAGCAGTTCTCATGGCTCAGACTCCTGAGTAGCTGGGACTATAGGCACACACCACTACGCTCACCTAATTTTTTGTACTTTTAGGAGAGACGGGATTTCACCATGTTGGCCAGGCTGGTCTTGAACTCCTGGCCTCAAATGATCTGCCCACCTCAGCCTCCCAAAGTGCTGGAATTACAGGCGTGAGCCACCGTGCCCAGGCTTCTCCATGTGTCTTCTCATGGCTTGATAGCGCCTTTCATTTTAGTGCTCAATAGAATTCTGTTGGCTGGATGTATCACAGTTATTTATCCATTCACCTACCAAAGGGCATCTTGGCTACTGCCAAGTTGTCAGTTATAAATAAGGCTGCTCTAAACATTTATGTACAGGTTTTTGTATGGATATGTTTTCTACTCCTTTGGGTAAATGCTAACGAATGTGATTACTGGATCATATGATAAGTGTATATTTAGCTCTGTCAGAAATTGCCCAATTTGTTTCCAAAGTGATTATACCATTTTGCATTCTCATCTGTAATGAATGAGAGTTCCTGTTGCTCCACATCTTTGCCAGCATTTGGTGTTGTCAGAGTTTTGGATTTTGGCCATTTAAATAGGGGTGTGGTAACATCTCATTGTTATTTTAATTTACATTTCCCTAATTACATGTGATTATGTGATATGCAGCTTCTTTTCATATCTTTTTTTTTCCTTTTGAGAGAGGGTCCCACTCTGTTGCTCAGCCTGGAATGCAATGGCCTGATTATGGCTCACTGCAGCTTCAATCTCCTAGGCTCAAGCAATTCTCCTACCTCAGCCTCCCAAGTAGCTGGCACTACAGGCGTGTACCATCATGCTCAGTGAATTTTAAAATTTTTTGTTCAGATGAAGTCTCAGTATGGTGCTCAGGCTGGTCTCAAACTTCTGGCTTCAAGCAGCCCTCCTGCTTCAGACTTCTAAGTGCTAGGATTATGGGTTTGGGTCACCACATCTGCCCTGTATATCTCTTTTGGTGAGGTATCTGTTAAAGCCTGGCCCGTGTTTTAATTGGGTTGTTTTCTAATTGCTGAATTTTGAGAGTTCTTTGTATATTTTGGAATGTTGGTGGTGATTTTTACTGTTATGTAATTACTCTATTTATTTTGTTTTGTTTTAGAGATAGTCTTCCTCTGCTACCAAGACTGGAGTGCAGTGGCATTATCACGGCTCACTACAGCTTCAAATACCTGGCCTCAAGTAGTCTTCCTTGTGAGCCTCTTGAGTAGCTAGGACTGCAGGTGTGCACCACCATGCCTGGCTAATTTTTAAATTTTTTTGTAGAGATGGGGTCTTGCTATGCTGCCCAGGCTGGGCTTAAACTTCTGGCCTCAAGCTATCCTCCCACCTCAACCTTCCAAAGAGCTAGGATTGCAGGCATGAGCCATCGTGCCTGGCTACCCCAATTTTTTTATCTGACCATGTAGTATTAGAGCAAATGATAAAGATATTTGCATTTTTTGAAAAAATTAATAAATGTTGTCTTAGTCCATGCTGTGTTGCTATAACAGAATTCCCGAAACTGGATAATTTAAAATGAACAGAAATGTACTGTACACGTCTAGAGGATGGGAAGTCCAAGATGGGAGGTCCACATCTGATGAATTCCTTCTTGCTGCATCATCCCATGGCAGAAGGGCAAAGACAGGGTGTGTGTGTGTGTGTGTGTGTGTGTTGTGGGGATGGAGAGAGAGAGAATGAGAGATAGAGGGATGAGGACTCACCCCTTTTATAAGAAACTTGCTCCTTTGTAACCAAACCCACTCCTGAGATAGCAGCATTAATATATTGATGAGGGCAGAGCCCTCCTGTCCTAATCACCTCTCATTAGGGTCTACCTCCCAGCATTGTAACATTCACAATTAAGTTTCCAATAAATGCTTTTTGGGGTACACATTCAAACCACAGCAAATGAGAAACTGCTTAGTGTAGTGCTTGGCACGTATTATATGTTTAATAACGTTATTTGGCTGAGAGTGGTGGTTTATGTCTATAATCCCAGCACTTTGGGAGACTGAGGTGGGCGGATCACTTGAGATCAGCCTGGGCAATATAATGAAACCCTGTCTCTGAAAGTAAAAATACATATATAAATTTTAAAAACAAACACGAAATAATGTTATCTGGATTTAAATCTTGTATATTAACCTATGTATCTTAATACTTTTAATACAAGCTCATGCCTACCTCTTATTATATTTATTCCCAAACATTTTGCGTTTTCTATTGCTAATGTAAGAATGAGAAGGAAGATTTATTGCGAGATCAGAGAAAGCAAGGCTAGAAAGGCGGGTTAGGGCCCTTGATGGACAGCAGAAAGTTTGGGTTTTATCCGGGCAGCAATTGAAAAGCCACCAAAAGAATTAATCAGTATAGTAACATAATCAGTTATGCTTTAGAAGGATTATTTCTATTTTAGTATATAGAAGGAGCATAGGACTAGAGCCACTGAGAGTAACAATTATGGCAAGGTCTTTCCGTTCTACGAATTGATACCAAGGAAGCGTAACAATCAAGAACCTGGTGTTTAAGCCTTCTCGGGGAGGTTACGGAAGGGTCAAAAGAATGTGGCTCATGTGGTGCTTTAAAACTGAGTCTCACATATGTACAGTTTATTACACTCCCCTAGTGTCATAAAGATATATGTATTCCTAGGCCTGCTTTTGATTTTTTTTCTAGTTTTTGATCCTCTCCTCTTATATATGCCAGTTTAAAAAGGCCCTAGATGTCAATGGTCAACTTCTAAAAATGTTGAGAATTTGTACAGAAGGGGAAGGTGAGTGACTTGCATTGGGCCACAAGGAAGGTCCTGATTACAAGTTTCTCAATAGGAAGCAATAAGGAACCAGACGAAGCTACTTAGTAGTCAGTAGAAAGAGGACAGAAAGAGGACAGGAGATTTAGAGAAAAAGTAGGAATCCTGCTTGCAGGAAGTGAGAGCTTGAGAGAGAAAGATGCAAAAACAATTTGTAGCGTTTTTCTTGCCCAGGTGTCTAGGAGATTAGAATTTTTTTTAAACAGGTGGAAGAGTAGTTTAGAGACGCCCAGGAGAAGTTATAAAGATAATTAAGCTGGGCGTGGTAGCTCACTCCTGTAATCCCAGCACTTTGGGAGGCCGAGGTGGGTGGATCACGAGGTCAAGAAATCAAGACCATCCTGGTCAACATGGTGAAACCCCATCTCTACTAAAAAAAATACAAAAATTTAGCTGGGCATGGTGGCACATGCCTGTTATCCCAGCTACTCAGGAGGCTGAGGCAGGAGAATTGCCTGAACCCAGGAGGTGGAGGTTGCGGTGAGCCGAGATCGCGCCATTGCACTCCAGCCTGGGTAACAAGAGCGAAACTCCGTCTCAAAAAAAAAAAAAAAAAGATAATTAAAATTTAGTTGTATTACATTAAGTATTGCCAGAAATTAGAGTGGCACTGTTCAAACAGGAGTTAGAAATTCAAACTAGAGCTCAGGAGAGGTCAGAGATGGATATAAAGAGTTGAATATTGGGGTCATGGAGTTCATACTTGCAGGAATGGATGACATCACTTAGGCTGCTTATCTGGTACAAATGTTGGGAAGGATGAGGGCAGAAACTGAGAAAATATCACTTCGAGGGGCAGGAAGGGAAGAATGGTTTCCTGAGCAGCAGTAGAAAGTTCAGATAGTTGGAGAAGCTGTGGAGTGTAGAGTCTCACCTATGCTGAAGAGACATCTGAATATTAACCTGTGTCAGCAAAGTCAAGGGGTCTGAGATTTGGTAATGATGTAACTACTAACTTTGCAAGCTGTGGGTAGAGTGGTGGGGATGAATGAATTTAATCATATCTCAAAAGGATTGGTAGAAAGACTAGGGAGAAATGATGTTGAGGCCAAAAGATAAGTAGGTAGGAGAACATCTCTTTATATAGCTTTTCTCAAGTAGTAGTAGCATGTTAAACAAAGACAACAGAGAATTGACCTTGTATCTACTAGAAAAACAGAAAATCTCTGCACATTTTCTAATGATCTGATTTATTGTGTAATTATTATATTTTTTTCAGCTTAAAACCCTTCATTAGCTTCATTGCTGGATAAACTCCAAAGTATGATGTAGAAATTCCTCTGTGATCTGGGTTCTGCATATTTCTCTAGCCTCATCGCTCACACCTCCTTTGAACACACAGCTTTTTCTAGCTTTTCAAATGTCTCATGCTGGTTCTTGTGCTGGCGTTTGCAGCTTCCACGTCTTCCATCTAGTTTCTTGATATCTTAATAAATCTTTATCTTCTCTGACTAAACTCAAAGTTCTTTTCTATGAATCCTTTCTGGGTGTTCAGGGTTGATATCATCATTCCCCTGTAATTTCTATCACCTAGCTCCATGTTGGGTACATAGTCTGTATTATATAAATGCTGAATGAACAAATAAAGTGCAAGTCTTTATATCACATCCATTTTTCATTTCAAAAACATGCAATATAGTACACAGCATTTATTCTTGCCATACAATATTCACTTTTGTGATTTTGTTAAAACACAAATAAAATTTTAAGTAGCTCCAGCTACTCAGGAGGCTGAGGCAGGAAGACGGCTTGAGCCCTGGAGGTTGAGGCTGCAGTGAGGCCTGATTGTGCCACTATACTCCAGCCTGGGCAACAGAGCACCACCCTGTTTCAAAGAAAAGAAAAGAAAAGAAAATTTTAAAATATTATTTAAAGCTTGTAACATAAAAGTTCTAATCTCATTAGTCTGTTATAATTTTCCATTTCATTTCTAAACTTTAGACTGGGCTGTTTTTTCCCTTTATTTCCTTTGGAGCGATTATCCTCTTTATGTTTCTAGTAAAAAGAATCAGGGACAGGCCTCCATTTTAGATCTAAATGACTAAAATTAAACCAATTAAGGTTTCATCGCTACAAGAATCAAGGCGGTTTTAATCTCAATTTGTGTTTGCATTTATGACCGTTGGCTCTCCCAAGGGAGAGAGAAGGACCTAGGGCCTCTACACCTAGTTTCAGGTTGATTACAATCAACATGGAACGAGTTTAGCATACAAGGCTCGTTTTGCATTAAAGACCTTTTTGTGCAGAGGAGGTAGTGGTGGCGATGATAAAAATCTTTAATCAAATCCAGCCAATTTGCATTGTTCTCTGAGGATAGGCTTTCAAAAGTTAAGGAACAAAAGAGGCTTTGGTTTTCAAATCTCCCTTAGGCGGCAGCAGATTATGAAGCAGCCAACGGGAGAAACCGAAGTATACATTATCAATAAGAGGACGGCGAGTGTGTGTGTGTGTGTGTGTGTGTGTGTGTGTGGCAGAGATGAGAAGCGAGGAAGGAGATGTGGGACACACACGCTACGGCTTCGAGGCGTTTTCCACGATGTGCCTGGTTATGTAACGTTGATAATGAGAGGCGCTGCAACAGCATCAATGCATTCTTCCGACCTGCTCACCCCCTAAGCTGGGATACAACGGGGATGGGAGGAGGGGACACTAAGCCCTGTGCAGGCAGAGAGCTGTCCAGACAGAGGTAAACCAGGGAGTTGGGCAGAACCCGAGCCCAGAGAATTTCTCCCCAGGCCCCGGCACAGCCCACCGTGGCTGTGGCTCTACAGATGGGCAGAAGAACCAGTTTCAAAATGCAGGATCTGGGATCCGACCTCTTAGGTTTTTATTCAGCAGTCAGGAAAAAGGGGTTAGAAGCTGGAAATCTGCATTTTCACTCGGCTCTGGCGACTGAGACAGGAAAGCGGGCACCTGGCGCTGAAAAGCCACAGCCGCGCGTGAGCACGGTGCACCCTCACGCGGGTACGGGGAGCTCCTGGGGCGGGAGCACCGGCGGTCTCTGGCCCGCCGCTCCCCAGCAACGGGCGCATGCGCCCGTTCTCCCCTCAGCGAAGGCGCGCTGCTTGGCGGGCAGTCTCCTCCAATCCGAGCCAGCGTTCTCGGAGTACGTATCCAGGAGCTGTGGGCTGAGGGCTGCTGGAGGCGGGAGGAAAAGGGTGGGGGTGGGGGCCTGAGTTGGGCTGACCTGTGAAAGTCTGAGAAGGTCTGCGAGAGCAGCCAGTGTTTTCAGCTCCGGAAGTGGCAGTTGTAAACTTCACCTCCCGGGGGCCTGTCCCCTCCTGTCCCCCTTTGCTCTTTGTCCCCCTCCTCTCGGGTCCTAGAGTCCGTCGTGTTCCAACAGTTTTTGCTCTTACTCCTGCGGGGTGCTTGGGCCTCATACCCCTGAGACTTGGAGCAGCCCCTGGGGTCTTGGGTGTGCGGCGTGGATCACGCGAGGCCCCTGAGGTAACCGCAGGGTGTGGGGGCTTCGAGGCGGACGACTTGGGAGGGAGGTGTTGAGACAGTGAGGGCCCCTGAGTGAGTTTGGGGCGGCCCTAGCGCTCTCCCTGTCGCCCTTGGGGCACGCCTCCAGCTCCTTGGGCTTGGTCTCCCCGCCCACCTGGAGGAAGATCTCGTGGAGCAGCCAGAGATCGCTGCCGCTGTACCAGAGCGTCGGATAGGGACCAGAAGGAAGGCAGAGGGCTGGGACTTGGAGCTTCTTAGGTTTACAATTGCGGGGCGGTTTCCTTCCCGATAATCAGTAAGCCCCCTCGAGGATATGGAACACTTCTTTCTGCCCCCTCTCCCCTTATTAAATGCGGGCCACATAGTAGACACTCTACAGATGTTTGATAAACGAGAACGAATTGTGCTAGACTGTCATCTGCAGTTTCTGCCTACTCTCCAGGACTCTGAGAGACTTAGAAGAGTCAGCTGCGCGTTTTCCCTAAGTTGTAAATTTTCTGCAGAAGTGGAGCCGACTTTTTGAATTTTTAAAATATCATTATGATAGTGATCTTAGGAAAATACATATTTATTTCATGTAATATTGTATGTATTTTATGTATAAAATAAATACGTCTTAATTTTATTTATTAGAGTTGGTGTCCAGCTCTTTTGAATACATGACATACCGATGTTTTATGGTTTTCATAATCTTGGAGAAAAGAACATATTTTGTCAGTTGTTTTATTTAATAGCTAGTGACTACTCTTAACAATAGTAGAGCAGGAGATGAACATGGGTTTACATAAAATGCAGAGGAAACAAAGGCAGTGCAACCTGCCATGAGGAAAGATGAAGGATTTAGTTTGTAGGTTTCTGTATTAGTCTTGGCTCAACCATTTTTGAGCTGCGTCCCCCCAGGCAAATCACCTAACCTTCCTCGGCATAGGTTCCTGATCTGTCAGATAAGGAGGATGGACTTAGTCTCTACAGTCTCATTTGATTCTAAAACGTTTTGATTGTTGGAGTCCCTTTGTTTTGGTCTAAGAACCAAACTTTCCCCTTCAAGGTGGATTATGTAACTATACTGAGGGACACTTCCAACACAGGTTGTGGTTACTAATGAAGACAGACTACATAGTGAAAGAGGATGGACTTAGATGTGGATTTGAATTCTCGTTTTCCAACTGAATGCTTTTGCAGAAATTACTCAACATCTCCAAGTTTTCTTATCTGTGAAATGTGCATAATAATCTCATGGAGGTGTTTGGATTAAATGAGATCAGGAATACTGATCTCAGTATCTGGCATATAGTAAGTGGCTCAGCAATAGGAGTTTCTGTCTTTTCATCCACCCATCCCTCGTTTTTCCTCTGATCTGTGAAGACACACTGAAAGATTAGTACATTTGGGATGACCAACTGAAGGACTCAGATGTGAGGTAGAAAAATTTTGTACCAGTAGTGCCTTCGAAATCTAAAGTAGATTTGCCTTTCGGGCTGATACTTCCTCTCATGATGTCGGGATCACTGATCCCCTGTCCTCAATTAACCTTTTATCTTTTTAAAAAAGCTTCTAATTGATGCATTATGTACATAACATCCCATCATCTATTTTAGTAGTAATGATGAGATTAGTTCAACTCCACTACCAGGAGAAGATTAATCTATTAATATATTAACATAAAAATCTAATTTGAACTTTGCCTTTCTTTATCCATCACTGCTGCTGGATGACGTGGTTTTGGTCCAAACCTGTGAAGGTGCTATCTGGATTGAGAATCCACTGAAGGTATGAGTAATCTTTTGTTGAGAAGGCCATGACTTGTCAGTTTGGATGTGGAGAAAAATGATGTTTTTAAGAAATCTCCAAGAAAGACCAGAAATGATTCCCTGAAAAGTGAGGTCTTACATGCTCCCTGGCTGGGATGAACAGTATCTTCAGGGCCAATAGCAAGGCGCACAGCAGAGCTTTGGAGTCAGCTAACTTGGGTGTAAATCCTGACCTTGTCACTAGAGATGTGACTTTGGGCAGGTGACTGAGTATTTTTAAGCCGTGGTTTAAGTATGGATATTAACATTATCTTCCCCTTCAAGTTGGTGTAGAGTGAAATGAGATAATATGTAGAAAGTTTTTAGCACAATGCCTGGAGAAGGGACTTTTGTGACAGTTGGAATGATGACAGCAGGGAATGACTTTGTGTCATACAGTTGGTTCACAGGTAATGATCAATTGGATAGTTTCTAATGGAAAGTAATATTTAGAGTTAAACAAATATTGAAGAAGAGAAATTCTGATTTTGATTGCATGTCATAAGGAATTTTTAATTACTCACATAGTTTGACCAAATTGTATATTTTAACTTTGTGGAGTTTCACAGGCAAGTTTCAAGTAAAGCTAGAAATAAATACTATTTAAAGGCATTGTAATTCTTTAACTTAGCTTCCTATTCCATTGAGATTTTCATTACTATACTGTAACCCTAGTTGACTGTCCTCATCATTCCTTGCCTTTTCACCTGGAGGAAGAGGAAGGAGATTTTACTGTACCTTCTCTGCCATGCTTGATTGTATGGGAATCTCATCATAGTTCAAATTCAGCCACTGACCATATCAACTTTGGTCCATCATTGATTTAGTCTTCCTAAAACAGACAGAGAAGTAAATCCTTGTACTCTATGTGATCAGAAGCTGATATCAGCGAGGAAGATGAAGAAAATTTAAAAAAAGACTTGATGAAAGACACACAGGCAGAGCTGGTGTGGGAACCCATTTTCCTGTCTTACCTGTCTGTTACTCAACTTTTTTTCACGTTAGGTCCAAGATGCTGTCTGCAATTCTTTGCCTCCCTATGGGAGGCCTCTTCCATAGGAAGTTCACAGCAAGGCACTTTGTTTCTTTAAGGCCAGTAGGAGATTGTCATTCAGTCTGCTAAGATAAAAGTCTTACCTAATGTCATGTAATCATGGGAGTGGTATTCATTCCTTCATCTTTGCTGTATTCTATTGGTTACAGATCAATGAGCTAGAAGTAGGTGAAACTTGGTCCTGAGCTGTGGAAGATGTTCTCTCTCTAGAGGACCATTCACATATGAAGATGTTAGATGCCAAAATAATGCACTGAAATACGATGATTCACTTTAAATTAGCTTTATTGACACAACTTTATTAAAGTTTGGTAACTTCCTCTTCTGATGCTTCTCTGCCCAATATATAAAAACATGATTAAGGCCCTAACTATCTGAAATTATTTTCTTAAGAGTTAAATAGAGGTCTGTTTATGCCTGTTGTGCCACATGTGTGTATGTGTATTTAAGCTTTTCCACAAAACAGGAACATTTCATGTACATGCTTTTGTGCCTTGGACATTACTTTTAAGTACAGAAGGGGCCGTTCCTTCCAGATTCTAACTCTTACTTTCATTCTGAAGGCAGTTTTCCTGGGGTCTGACCTTCAGGAACATGGTGATAAGGTGACAAGATTTTGGGACAGTATCTGAAAAGCTTGTTAGAGACTCCTTAGTACCCTCCACTTAATAGCTGAATGGCTTTTGGGCAAGACAGTTGAGGATCTCTGAATCAGATGAGTTTTCTTATAAAGTGAGGATAATAATTCTCAGGTAAGATGACTTATAGTTCAGCTTAATGTGTCACCAGTGGCCTCACAGAAAGAACTTGGGCTTTAGAGTGAAAGTTATGAGTTGGAATCTTGGTTCTGTAACTGTGTGACTTTTTCGAGTTACTTCTAATCTCAGTCTTAGTTTTCTTGGTAGAAAAATGGGATAATCCTTACATTGCAGTGTTGTAAGGATCACAATTCTATATATAAAATAACAAATACTATGCTTGACACTGTAGTAAGTACTCAGTAGATGGATGACAGTGGTATTCATTGGTCTGCCACCGTTTCCAACCTAGTCTTTTCTTTTTGAGACGGAGTTTCCCTCTTGTTACCCAGGCTGGAGTGCAATGGCGCCATCTCGGCTCATCGCAACCTCCGCCTCCTGGGTTCAGGCAATTGTCCTGCCTCAGCCTCCTGAGTAGCTGGGATTACAGGCATGCGCCACTGTGCCCAGCTAAATTTTTTGTATTTTTTTGGTAGAGACGGGGTTTCACCATGTTGACCAGGATGGTCTCAATCTCTTGCCCTCATGATTCACCTGCCTCGGCCTCCCAAAGTGCTGGGATTATAGGCTTGAGCCACTGCACCTGGCCTCCAACCTAGTCTTTCAGGTCCCTGGAGAGATGAGATCTCCCCATTCCCATGTCATCTTAGCCAAAATTCCAACCTCTGTTCTAGGTCAGACTGTTTAATCAGCCACGTGAAACACTGTTGTAAAGATCCTTTGGATGTATATGTAGGAGTTGTTAGTCAGTTCTCAGCGCTGGGGTACAGTCTCCTTCTCAGTCTGCTTATTTGAGTTTGTTTTCTTTTGGTGATCTCCCTGAGGTCTAGATAGCTCCATATACCTACAATTTCACTAAACAATTATTTATTACATCTTTCCCCTAGACCAAATCACCCCAAGCATCTCTCACTCCCTTCCTTTTTCAGGGATCATTCTTTTTTTTTCAGATAGTTTTGTGTTTAGTAATATAAGTGGGTGGTGGCCAGGCACTGAATATGTTCTGTATATATTATTAAATTTTAAACATATGAGATTGAGATAGTTATTCCGTTTATATTGTTGAGGAAACAGGCTCAAAGAGTTTTAAGTAACTTGCCCAAAGGCCACATACTTATAAGATATTTATTAGAATCCTAATTCAGGTCTTTCTGAGTCCAAAAATTATGGTCTTTCTTAGGATACTGGACTTCTACTGGGGATACCAGGAGGCCCTTTTGGCATATTTATATTTGTGTCTATTTGGAATATTATTGTTATTTCTCTGTTTAAAATGTTTACTCAGAGACTCCTAACACTGTGGTAAAGTAACTTACTTTGGCTTTGTATAATTTGGAATATCTCCCTTAGAAGAAGGTTCCAAAAAACAGGTCAGAGTAAGTGACAGATACTCTGTACTTCCCTTCTTCCTCTTTGATTGCTTGGGAGAAGGCCTTTGAAAATTATCGTTGGATCTTTTGGTTGGGAGTACCTTGGCATCTTTGATGTCTCATTTATGAAAAAGGCTTTGGGGACCCAAAAATGTCCCTGGACTTCACTTTCTTTGAAACTGAATTCTGTGCCCTAGAGATAGGCACTATGTATTCTTTTTACATTTTCAGGAATAATTTTTCACTATTTTGATAATTTTTCTTTTGAGAAAATAATCAAATAGTTTCATCATTACTTCGTTCTTATAATAAGGAACATCTTTTTAACATTTCGTCATTTTTGTTTCCAATACTTTTTATTTTATTTTATTTTAAAATTATGATTAGACAAAAATATTTTTAGGGATGGACTCACTATGTTGCCCAGGCTGGCCTTGAACCTTGGGCTCAAGCAATCCTCTTGCCTCAGCCTACTGAATCGCTGGGACTACAGGTACATACCATGATTCTGGCTTCCAATCCTTTTGAAAGAAATATCTAAAACATTATAGCTTTTTGGAATACAGTATTACATGTGTGTTATACAATAATTATACAATTAAGCCAAAGAACAAGATAACTCTCCAATAATATCAGGACTCAAACTGCTGTTGTATCATTTACTATTTTAACAGACCTCAGATCATCTAACCTGTAAGCCATAGACATCTTAGGCAATTTTAATTATCAAGAAAGAAATATGTCATTAAGAAACAGTGGGACATTTTGAAAGAGTTGGAAAACATCATGAATTTGAATGCTTCAAGTAATGGCGCTGGTGACACCCAAAGGTAAGCCTCTAGTCTCTTCTTGTAGTTGAAGAACGCTTTGAGTTGCAAGGAAGAGGGAGAAGTCAGTGGTTGGTAGAGCTAATTGTAAGAATTCCCATGGGTATGTTAAGGGGAATAGAAATTTAGTGGGACTGAAGGAGCATGAATGAAGCCTCACAGGAATTGGAACTGAATCTAGAGACTTTATGGGGTTTTTGTGCTTCTCTATAATTTGGACCACAAAAGTCCATGTGTCTGAATTTCTTTTTTTTTTTTGTAGGAAGGGAGGAAGGCAGGAAGGGAGGAAAGGAGGAAGGGAGGGAGGGAGGAAGGAAGGGAGGGAGGGAGGGAGAGAAGGGAAGGAAGGAAAATCAGGCAATGAGAGAGACATTGCCGACCTGGATCTAGAGGTCTACAAGTTGATTTCTTTTTTTCTTTTTTTGAAAGAAGGAAAGAAAAAAAAAGGAGTGAAGGAGAGGAAGAAAGAGGAAGAAGAAGAGGGAGAGAGAACGGAAGTGTTGCTTTATTCTAAAAAAAATGGGTATTAATAATAGCCAATCAGTATTTCATTTAAACCTATGAGTAGGTGTGATGTGGTATTGATGAGAATGTATATTTTGTGTATTTAAAGTGGAGAGCTCTATAAATATTTATTAAGTTTACTTGTTCCGGATCTGGGTTCGAGTCCTTGATATCCTTATTAATTTTCTGACTCACTGAGTCTAAGTCTCTATGTATCTGGGTGTTAGGATCGTTAGCTCTTAGTGTTGCATTGATCCTTTTACCACTATATCTTTGTTGCTTTACAATCTATTTTATCAGATATGAGAATTGCAACTCCTGCTTTTTATTTATTTGTTTATTTCTGCTCTCCATTTGGTTGGTAAATCTTTCTCCATCCGTTTGTTTTGAGTCTTTGTGTATCCTTGCCTGTGAAGTGGGTCTGGATATAGCATACCGTTGGGTTTTGGTTGTATCTTTTGATTGGGGGATTTAGTCGATTTAAATTTAGGATTACTGCCATTTGATGTTAACTGGCTGTTTTATCCATTCGTTGATGTAAGTTCTTTATGTTGATGCTCTTTACTTTTTGGTGTATTTTTAGAAAGGCTAATACTGGTTGTTTCTTTCTGTGTGTAATGCTTCTTTCAGAAGCTCTTGTAAAGCAGGCCTGGTGGTAATACAATCTCTGAGTTCTTGCTTGTTCATAAAAGATTTTATTTTTCCTTCAGTTGTGAAGTTTAGTTTGGCTGGATATGAAATTCTGGGCTGAAAGTTCTGTTCTTTAAGGATGTTGAATATTGCCCCCACTCTCTTCTGGCTTGTAGAGTCTCTGCTGAGAGATCTGCTGTAAGTCTGACAGGCTTCCCTTTGTGGGTAGCCTGACCTTTCTCTCTGGCTGCCCTTAGTATTTTCTCCTTCTCCTTTGTTTCAACCCTGATGAATCTAATGATTATGTGCCTTGGGGTTGCTCTTCTTGAGGAATATCTTTGTGGTGTTCTCTGTATTACCTGGGGTTGAATATTGTCCTGCTTTGCTAGTTTAGGAAAATTTTCCTGAATAATATCCTGAAGAATATTTTCCAGCTTGTATTCATTCTCTCCGTCACATTCAGGTACACCTATCAAACGTAAATTTGGTCTTTTCACATAGTCCCACATTTCTTGTAGACTTTGCTCATTCCTTTTTATCCTTTTTTCTCTAATCTTGTCTTCTCGTTTTATTTCATTAAGTTGGACTTTGACCTCTGATATCCTTTCTTCTGCTTGAACAATTTGAGTGTTTAAACCTGTGCCTACTTCTCAGAGTTCCTGTATTGTATTCTTCAGTTCCATTAATTCACTTATATTCCTCTCTAAGTTGTCTATTCTCATTAGGATTTAGTCAAACCTTTTTTCAAAGTTCTTAGTTTCTTTACATTGGGCTACAATATGTTCTTTTAACTCATAGAAGTTTCTTATTATCCATCTTCTGAAGCCTGATTCTGTTAATGGGATGCGCTCGTTCTCCATCAAGCCTTGTTCCCTTGTTAATGAGGAACTGTGATCCTCTGTAGAGGGAGAGGCATTCTGATTTTGAGTATTCTCAGCCTTTTTATGCTGGTTTCTTCCCATCATTGTAAATTTATCCACCTGTCGTCTTTGTAATTACCAACTTTCAAATTAGGTCTCTGAGTGGACGTCCAAGTTGTTAATTCCCAGGGCCAAAATATGAGCAACCCACTGCGCCGTCCAAAACAGCGACGTTAAGACTGATGGTGCTTTTCTGCCCGGGAATCTCCAGTCTGGCTTCCTTCTTGAGTCCATAATAGGTGACTCTGCCTTCCCGGAGCTCCATACCTGGGTCAGAAGGGGAACCAGTCCTGTTTACTCTGCACCAAGAGCTGTCGCACTGAGGTGCTGGCAAAACCGCTGCGCCGGCCATGAGAGTCACACTGGTGACCTGTGTGTCTCCTCCAAATCTCGGTCAGAAGGGGAACCAGTCCTGTTTACTCTGCACCAAGAGCTGCTGCACCGAGGTGCTGGTAGAACTGCTGCGCCGGCCACAAGAGTCACGCTGGCGACCCGTACGGCTCCTTCACTGGGAATCTTTTGCTCCGTGAGTGACCAAAATTTGTCTGAAAGTGTGGCATCCTCTCATTCTCTGCGCTTTCACTGGGAGCTGCAATCCCAAGATGTTAGCGATCAGCCATCTTGGATTGTTCTCCCTGAATTTCTTTCTGTTACTAGAGACTTGCTTGTTTTTTTCCGCTACTCTAAATCTTTGCCTCATATTTTTAATTTATATTTCTGTTCCAACAGGATTTTTTTTTTCTGGAGAGCTATCCAAGAGCTATTGTTGAGTGAAAAAAAAAGAGTGACCCAAACACACATAGATACCCACACACTTAAACACAATCGTAGGCATTATTTGCATAACAAAAATTCTATAGAATTTTTTTTTTAAAGAAAGAAAAAGAGAAAGGGGGAGAGAGAACAGGAGTCTTGCTCCATTGCCCAGGCTGGAATGCAATCCAAAAATAGGTATTAAAAACCTCTTTTATGCCCATAATTGTGCTTAACAGCATAGACAGGAAAGAATAAGGGAAGAAAATAACAAACAAACAGCCAACCAATATTTCGTTTAAGTCTGTAAAATACTATGCAAATGCTGAAGAGTGATTTACTTCCAATTATGCGGTCACTTTCAAAATAGGTGTAATGTGATACTGAGAAAAATGTATGTTCTGTGGACCTGGAGTGAAGAATTCTATAAATATTCACTGAGTTTGCTTGTTCCAGGTCTGAGTTCAAATCATAGATGTCCCAATTAATTTTCTATCTCGTTGATTTGTCAAATATTAACCGTGTGGTGTCAAAGTCTTCCACTATTATTATGCGGGAGTCCAAGTCTCTTTATAAGTCATTAAGAACTTGCCCTATGTATCTGGGTGTTCCTATATTGGGTGCATATACATTTATGATCATTGACTTCTGTTGTTGCATTGATCCTTTTACCATTATATAGTGTCCTTCTTTGTTTCTTTTAGTCTTTGTTACTAGTAAAGTCTATTTTGTCAGAGAAGAAAGTTTTACAACTCCTGTTTTTTTTTTTTTTTGCTCTCCATTTGATTGGTAAGTCTTCCACCAACCCTTTGTTTTGAGTCTTTGTGTGTCCTTGTTTCTTTTAGTCTTTGTTACTATTAAAGTCTATTTTGTCAGAGAAGAAAGTTTTACAACTCCTGTTTTTTTTTTTTTTTGCTCTCCATTTGATTGGTAAGTCTTCCACCAACCCTTTGTTTTGAGTCTTTGTGTGTCCTTGCTTATGAGATGGATCTGGATAGAGCATACCAATGGGTTTTGACTTTTTATTCAATTTGCCTGTCTGTGTCTTTAATTGGGGCATTTAATTCATTTAAATTTAGGATTAATATTGATATTTGTGAGTTTAATATTGTAGTTTAAAACTAGCTGGCTATTTTGCCCATTAGTTGATATAGAGTCTTCATTATGGAGATACTCTTTACCTTTTGGTAAGTTTTGGGATGACTGATACTGGTTGGTCCTTTCTGTGTGTAGTGCTTCTTTCAGAAGCTCTTGTAAAGCAGGCCTGGTGGTGATGGAAATCTCTGAGTGCTTGCGTGTTCGTGAAAAATTTTATTTTTCCTTCGTTTATGAAGCTTAATTTGGCTGGATAGGAGATTATGGGTTGAAAATTCTTTTCTTTGAGGATATTGAATATTAACCCCCACTGTCTTCTAGTTTGTAGGGTTTCAGCTGAGAGATCTGCTGTGACTCTGATAGGCTTCCCTTTATGGGTAACCTGACCTTTCTCTCTAGCTGCCTTTAGAATTTTATCCTTTATTTCAACCCTGGTGAATCTAACAATTATGTGTCTTGGGGTTGCTCTACTTGAGGAATATCTTCGTGGTGTTCTCTGTATTACCTGGAGTTGAGTATTGTTGTGCCTTACTAGGTTAGGAAAGTTTTCCTGAATAATATCTTGAAGAATATTTTCCAGCTTGGATTCATTCTCTTTATGACATTCAGGTACACCTATCAAACATAAATTAGGTCTTTTCACATAGTCCCATATTTCTTTTTTTTTTTTTTTTTTTTTTTGAGACGGAGTTTCGCTCTTGTTACCCAGGCTGGAGTGCAATGGCGCGATCTCAGCTCACCGCAACCTCCGCCCCCTGGGTTCAGGCAATTCTCCTGCCTCAGCCTCCTGAGTAGCCGGGATTACAGGCACGCGCCACCATGCCCAGCTAATTTTTTTGTATTTTAGTAGAGACGGGGTTTCACCATGTTGACCAGGTTGGTCTCGATCTCTAGACCTCGTGATCCACCCGCCTCGGCCTCCCAAAGTGCTGGGATTACAGGCTTGAGCCACCGCACCCGGCCCAGTCCCATATTTCTTGGAGACTTTGCTCATTCCTTTTTACTCTTTCTTCTCTAGTCTTGTCTTCTCATTTCATTTCATTAAGTTGGTCTTCGACTTCTGATATCCTTTCTTCTGCTTGATCAATTCAACTGTTAAAACCTGTGCATACTTCGCAGAGTTCTCGTACTATATTCTTCAGTTCCATTAATTCACTTATATTCCTCTCTAGATTGTCTATTCTTGTTTGGATTTCATCAAAGCTTTTTTCAAGGTTCTTAGTTTCTTTACATTGGGCTAGAACATGTTCTTTTAACTCACAGAAGTTTCTTATTATCCACCTTCTGAAGCCTGATTCTGTTAATGAAATGTACTCCTTCTCCATCAGGCCTTGTTCCCTTGTTGATAAGGAACTGTGATCCCCTGTAGAGGGAGAGGCATTCTGATTTTGGGTATTCTCAGCCTTTTTATGCTGGTTTCTTCCCGTCATTGTAAATTTATCCCCCTGTCGTCTTTGTAATTACTGACTTTCAAATTAGGTCTCTGAGTGGACGTCCAACTTGTTGATTCCCAGTGCCAGAATCCGAGCAACCCACTGTGCTGGCTAAAACAGCTGCATTAGGATTCGTGGTGCTTTTCTGCCCGGGAATCTCTAGTCTGGTTTCCCTCTTGAGACCCTTT